GGGGAATTGTAAAAGATATTTTTTAAGGATAATGGCAATTTTCCCAGTATAGATTGTAAGGCAATAATATGGTAATCAAAAGCTATAAAGTTTTGATTTTTAATAAGACTTCCCCATAACTAAATAAAAATTTCGACTGGACAGTTGTAAAAGTAATTTTCGGCAGGCCTGATATCGAAAAACAGAGCAAATTAAAAGATGTCAAAATGATCAAGATATTAATAAATAATATGGCAAAAATCCAGATGATTTTAGGCCGAGTTTTTTTTACTAAATTTTGTGTGCTTTGTGACACACAATCAATAAAATTAAGTGGCCTTTACTACCTAAATAGAACAATTTACACCCACTAAAGGGCGAGAAATCTGTGCACACAACCAATGCCAACCCAACAAAGAGAAAATACTATAATCTTCGTATAATTAATGTTTTATGCATCTCTCATAGACATTAAACCTCTTCTTGTTGCAGCATCCAAATGTTATAACAAGCACTAAATTGCATAAAGAACTGCAAGTATATCTTTTAATAGAGCTATCGCTTTAAGATTACATTTTACATAGGGAAACAATTTTTTGTAATTAAACAGTTGTTACTTGTTAAAATGGTAGGAACATTTGTGTCCGGAACTTCATGAATGTGATTTCAATGCTCCAAAGCAATCGCATTAATAAAAAATACAGCAAATTAAATAGTAAAATATACTTCAACAAGCTGACTCTTATCGCATATATACTTCTTTTCATACACAACTTTCAAACAGGAAAATGCGATTGCAAGAAAGACACAACCCCAGTGCCAAACGGAGAATATATAGAACAATGTCTCGCTGATGCAAGGCCTGAGGACATTAGTCAACCTCAGTAAGGCTTTCTTGCTGACTTGGATTTATGCTGCCGGGCCCTTCTCGCCGCAAATTTATCGGCCTGTATGCAGTCTCAGAAACGTGAATGATAGAGATTGATCCAGGAACTCCTGCACAGCCTAGGTCGATAGCAGTCTCATCCGTAATGCAGTTAGACAAGGTAACTGCTGCTTCGTCGCTGACTAATGGAACATCAATAGGCCTACCAATGTCAAATTTATTAGTGGTACTCGTAATAATAGATGTACAAGGACCCAAAATGTTCTGGGGCAAGGGAGCATCTAACGTACTTGAAGTACAAGAAGAATGAAAAACATTGTCACATGAAGGAGAGGAAGATTGATGCCCCCAAGAAGTCCTGTTTGTAGAACTATGGTCGGAAGACTAATGAAGGAAGAAAAGAGAAGAGGAGGAGATAGTAAGGCGATGAAAATGGACATTTTAATTTTCTGTTGTAAGAAGGATTCAAAATAATCAATATATCATATATAGTGGCTCGTTCAAGATGATGAAGGACTAGTAGTTGAATTTTAGCACAATGGCGCAAAGCATGACATTCTATTAAATTTCCCAAATACAGTTACCAGTTCTTCATCACCTTGAAGGATATTGCTCTTATATAGGATCTATACTCAAATCATTGTGGGAAAATATTTCTACCATTCCTTCATCACCTTGAACAAATTTGGGTGAATACATCTCATGTTACTGATTTACTGGTAGTCTCGAAACAATAGATAAAATGCGAAAAATAAAGTAACGTAGAAGATTGTCATAGCAAATATAATTTGCTTCATCGAAGATCCTACTAAAGAATATATGAAAAAAGGCTTGGCCTTCCTTGAAATTAACATTTGCCCTGCGAGCAAAGGGGAGTCGTGGTAATGTGGCCGAGAAGTCAACGTGTCAAGTTCTAATTCTGTACCGTCATTGTTCGACTCCCGCTGGGCGGGTTGATAAGACCGATGCGAGGTCGAAGCTGAAGAGCACCCTGAATGAGAACAACTTTTGGAAAGAAAGGCTATGTGAAATCAAATGAAAACGTCAGCTCTACGCATATCATTGTGGGAAAATTCCTCTACCATTCCTTTATGACAGGGAACAAAATGCATGAATACATCTCATGTTAGTGAATTACTGGTAGACTCGAAATAATACTTAATATGCGGAAAATAAAGTAACGTAGTAGAATGTTATAGCAAATATACGTTTGCTTCATCGACAATCCTACTAAACAATATATAACAAAAGGCCAGGCCTTCCTAGAAATTCACATGTGCCCTGTAATCCAAGGGCACTTGGTAGTAGCAAATATACGTTTGCTTCATCAAAAATTCTACTAAGCAATATATGACAAAAAGCCTGGCCTTCCTTTAAATTCCCATGCGCCCTGTAACCCAAGAGCACTCGAGGCAATGTGGCCGAGTCGTTGATGTGTCAAGCTCCCATTCCGCATTATCCTGCATCGACTTCCGCTAGGCGTGTTGATAAGACCGATGCGAGGTCGAAGCTGGAGTGCAGCCTGAATGAGAACAACTTTTGAGAAAGCAAGGCTATGAGAAATTCAATATGAACGTCAGCTCTACTCATAGCATTTTGGGAAAATACTTCTACCATTCCATCATCAGCTTCGACGAATTTAGGTGAATACATGTCATGTTACTGATTTACATGTAGTCATGAAACAATACTTAGAATGCGAAAAATCAAATGCCTTAGTAGATTGTTATAGCAAATATACGTTTGCTTCATTGACACTCATACTAAAGAAAAAATGACAAAAGGCCTGGCCTTCCCTGAAATTCTCATTTGCCCTGTGACCCAAGGGCACTTGTGGCAATGTAACTGAGTCGTAACGTGTCAAGCTCCTATGCTGCACTATCATGGTTCGACTAACGCTGGGGTTTTTTATAAGACCGATGCGAGGTCGAAGCTTCAGTGCACCCTGAATCAGAACAACTTTTAGGAAAGCAATGCTATGTGAAATTCAATGAAAACGTCAACTCTACTCAAAGCATTGTGGGAAATTTCTTCTACCAGTCCTAAATCATCTCAAACGAAAATTGATGAATACAACTCATGTTACTGATTTTATGGTAATCTCGAAACAACACTTAAAATGCGAGAAATAACCTAACGTAGTCGATTATTATAGGAAACATACGTTTGATTTAACGACTATCCTACTAAACAATATATGACAAAAGTCCTGGCCTTCCTTAAAATTCACATTTGCCCTGTGACCCAAGAGCACTTGTGGCAATGTTGCCGAGTCGGTAACGCGTCAAGCTCCCATTCGCACTGTCATTGTTCGACTCCAATAGGGGTTGTTGATAAGACTGATGCGAGGTCGAAGCTTGAGTTCACCTTAAATGAGAACAACTTTTAGGAAAGCAATGGTATGTGAAATTCAATGAAAATGTCAACTATCCTCATAGCATTGTAAGAAAATTCTTCTACCATTGCTTCATCACCTTGAACGAATTTGGGTGAGTACATCTCATGTAATGATTTGGTGGTAGTCTCGAAACAATACTTAAAATAGGAAAATTTAAGTAACGTAGTCGATTGTTATAGTAACTATACGTTTGCTTCATCGACTATCCTACTAAACAATAAATGACAAAAGACCTGGTATTTCTTGAAATTTACATTTGTCCTGTGACCCAAGGGCCCTCGTGGCAATGTGACCGAGTCAGTAACTTATCAAGCTCCCATTCTGCACTGTCATCGTTCGACTCTTGCAGGGTGTCTTGATAAGACCGATTTGAGGTCAGCGTAGCAGTCCACCCTGAATGAGAACAACTTTTGGGAAAGCAAGTCTATGTAAAATTTAATGAAAACGTCAGCTCTACTCATATCATTGTGAGAAAATTCTTCTACTATTACTTCCTCACCTTCAGCGAATTTAGGTGAATACATTTCATCTTAATGATTTACTGGTAGTCTCGAAACAATACTTAAAATACGAAAAACAAAGTAGAGTAGTAGATTGTTATAGCAAATATACGTTTGCATCATTAACAATTTCACTAAAGAATATGATATGATAAAAGGCTTGGCCTTCCTTGAAATTCATACTTGCCCTTTGACCTAAGGGCACTCGTGGAAATGTGACTGAGTCGTTAAAGTGTCAAGCTCCTATTCTACACTGTCACGCTTTGACTCTCACGTTGATAAGACCCTCGCCAGGTCAAAACTGCAGTCCACTCTGGACTCCACACTTTTGGGAAAGCAAGACTATGTGAAATTCAATGGAAACGTCAGCTCTACTTAAATCATTGTGGGAAAATTCTTCTATCAGTCCTACATCACCTCTTCTTCCTGCCCTTTCATACGAAATGAAATTTGCCTCAAAAATGTTATATCAGGAGATTCATCAAAACCCAGTTTCTCTTGGTATCTAAAATATTTTGATGAGGGAGCTTAACACGGTCTCCAAGTCGCTCCGAAGAAGTTGCAAAGACGAGGTCAAATCAACCCTATACAACTAAAGGAGGCTGCGACCAAGCCTAAGGCCAGATCTTTCTTACAGTCAAGTGAGAATATCCATGTAAACAATTCACGTTAGAATACTCTGAGAAAAATAGGAGAAAAGATTTTTCAATACACCGCTAAAATAGCATAAATATTGAGAAAATACTGACTTACAATGCGTTTGTGATGAGGTAGGTGAATTAGACTATCTTCTTCATGGTCCGATTTTGGCGAGATAGAAGGGTTATCAACAAATATCCGCCCATTTAGATTAGGTCCTGGTGCCGATCTTTCGGCGGTTTCACTTTGGCAAAAAGAGCTTCCAGTTAAACACATGCCGGAGAAGACATCAGTGGGAGAGGCAGGTGGGTCAGGAGTCCAGAAATGTTCGGCCGTGCTTGATCCAGAAGTGACAGATAATCTAGTGGCATTTGCTATAGATGAACAAAACAAGAGGACAGTAATACAACGATTTGGCTAACAACTTTGGTAAAGGAGCTGCTTAGGAGATACTTAGTTTGTTAAACATGAAGATGCAAAATTCAAGTCTACCTTAAAAGTTAAGCATTCTGCGTGGCTAAAATAGGCAAAGAGAAATATTAATAAAAATGCAGACATATATACATACACGCAAATATGTAGGTTGTGACTCTTAACTGCTTGACATATCGCACGAGCTGGGACCTTAGACGAATGTGATGGGGATCAAAAACCTTTGCAAAAGGTAAAATCATGCAATAAATATGTTATAAGCAAATCTAGAAACGGCAAAAAATCTATGAGGCTTGGGGAGCACAGGAGAGGATTTGGGGATAGAAGACCGATAACCAAGACAGTCTGCTGAATAGGTTTGCCATGCGTAAAAGACGCCACAATAAGAAAGGACGGTACTGATGTCATTTCGGTCCCGAAAAAATTGGTGCTTGGCAAATAGTCCAATAGATGCGGATTTT